CGTCCCGAACGTCCAGTTGAAATCACTATGCCAGAAATGATTGAAAAAATCCATCGTATCATCATAGAAGATCGCCGAATGAAGGTGCGTGGCATAGCTGAGATTGTAGACATCTCAGTAGATAGAATGCATAATATCCTGCACAAAGAATTAGAAATGAAAAAGCTATGTGCACGATGGGGACCATCGATCAAAAACGCAGGCGAAAAGACATTTCGCAGCAGTATTTGTCGATGCTTAAGCGCAATCCACAAGACTTTTGGCGTCGATTCGTGACCGTAGACGAGACTTAGATCCATCACTATACACCCGAGTCAAAACAGTAGTCGAAGCAGCAGACAGCGCCTGGTGAATGTGCGAAGAAGGCGAAGACTGTTTTGTCGGCCGGGAAAATAATGGCCACTTTTTTGGGAATCCCAAGGAATCATCTTCATTGACTACTTACAGAAGGTCAAACACAGGAGCATATTATTCTACACTTCTGAATCGTTTGTACGAAGAGTTGCAAACGAAACGGCCGAGATTGGCGAGCAAAAAAGTTATCTTTCACTATGACAATACTCCGGCTCACACCTCCACAGTTGCAATGACAAAATGCATGAATTAAAATTCGAATTGCTGTTCCATTCACTCTATTCTTCTGATTTGGCCCTTTGTGACTTCTTTCTATTCCCAAACCTCAAGATCTCAGGCTCAGGAAAAAGAAATTTTCGTATGATAAGGAGGTCATCGCGAGAGCGTCCCAGATACGCACATTTTCAATTGGACACACCACTCACATCAGCCGATGCCTAGGAATTTTCTAGTAAGCCATCTATCAAAAATTTTTTTATTTAATCGACCAATCAGCAATGTGTTCGATTGGATCTTACCCGTCATCACTGCTGTAGATGTGTATTTTGAAGGTCTTGAGACTTTCTACTTTTCCGAAGGGATCAAAAAATTGGAACACTGCTGGACTAAGTGTGTAGAGCTTTAAGAAAACTACGTCGAAAAGTGAGAAAGAATTTTCCGGAAAATAGATGATTTTATTGCTTTTTTACCTGACTTATCGAACGACTCTCGTAAAATGTCGCGCGAGATCGAGATTATTAGCGATTCGTGCTGTGCGAATGGGATATGGATTTCTCGTCACTCGAGATATTGCTATGTAAGATTTATTATCGTCGCATGCCTGAGGAAATCGGAACCTAAGATTCCTTCTTAGGCAATAGGAAAGCCATTAGGCGTCATATAAGAAATTATCAGATATCCTAGGAAGTAGTAGATGACCCAAGAGTTTTTACCTGTTCCTCCGCCTGATGCCGCTAAGGTAAATCGCGTTATTTCTATCGACTGGAGTCCCGAGACGCAAGTTCCTTACGTTCCTTAATTAGGTTGGGAGCGGCATCCGTATCGATCATGAATTCGATTTCGCGTGTAAGCTCGTCGGCACGTATGCCGTTGGCGCTGGAGGTCGCAAGAGTTTAGGGTTGCGATTCGGATTTCTCGTTGTCGCTCGTTATTTCGATCGAGTTTACCGGATGCGTGTGCCAGGGAAAATCCGCTGCATCCGCGGTACGTGGCGGATCTCGCATATTTCCCGCTTCCCTGTTCCTATTGTTGTTATATTGTCTCTTGCGACATTCCTCTATTTTATGGCCTGCATTCTTGCAGTATCGGTACCATTTCTTCGAATTTATGATCATCGCGATTCTGGGGCGGTTTTCCGTTGTAATCGTATCCGCGGTCCGCGGGAGGGGGGTTGTGTTTATAAGCAGAGTCTCGTGGGAAGGCGTGTTGCTGCCGCGAAGGCGTATATTTATCGTACATCCGTGTGTCTCGTTTAGTCCTCATGTTATTAGTCATTATGTCCTGTTATACCAGAGAGTGGTACCGTCTGTTAACGTCTAAATCTATTTTCCCAGTCGGACCGCCTCTCGTGCGGTCTACTTCGTCACATTTGGCTAAGGTCATGACGGCCATAAACATTTCGAAAGGATTATAATAGTATTCGGACTTAAGTTGGAGGTGGAATTTTAATGGCTCTTGCAAAATACGTACCATTAGTTCGTCGATCTCACAAGCGTGGTCTAGCGTGGTTTAGCGTTCCTCAAGGTCGGCTCGTAGATCCTTAATTCGATTTATATAATCTAGTATGTTCTCATTGTATTTAAAGTACACAGAAGTTAAATCACCACGGTTAGACATTGGTTCTAGGCGAGCCGAAAGCGCAGTTTAAAAGATCTCTCAGTTACGTAACTGTTTCACATGACTCATGCTGAACAACAGTATAGGCGTGCCCACGCAATTTCGCAATTAGCATTTTCGTTAATGACTTTTCATGCAGGGGTATGATGTCAAGAGGCAGGCACTTAGAAATTGGGAGAGGGAAATGTTATACCCATTAAAGTTGGGAACACAATCTGTGGCTTTGTGATGCAGGATACGCGGGGCCGGTACCGCGTCGCTAGGGGAGTCGAAAAAGGGGGGGGAATTGTGCTTGGGTTTCAGAGAAACGCTATCTGGCAGGAAGACTAAGGCTGCGACCTAAATCTCTCCTCCCGGTGTCAAACTCGCGACGCAAATTATTAATCTCGCGTATGAAATCGTTTATCATTTCGTTTCTCATCGCGATGAGCATTTCACCAAGTTCCGGAATAATAGAGCGGGCGGCTGTTCCCTTTGCTTGTTCGAGTTCTTCGCGTGCCTTTCGTTGTATCCGCGAATCGCGGCGCGATCAAATTGTACTCGTGCCTCGTGCTCTGAATATTTGCGTTGTAAGGCGGAATCTTGTTCTCTTAATTGCGCCTCGCGATTGTCCTACTTTTGTCTAATCTGTTCTAGCTCTTTTTCGGAGAGCTTTTTCCCCTGGCGTGTATTCATGTCGTTCGCGGACATCACCGGCGTGCGAAACATATATTCGTCTTTCCCACCGCTGTCATTAATTATGTCACATCGCGAATCGTGGCAATGCGGCGTTAGAATTTAAGAGAATTTCTTACCTTGATTTTCCCCAGCTTCCTGTCGAGATCCTCCACCCGGGTTGGTCGAGCTCGGCGAATTTTCGAATATTTAGAGGAGATTAATTAAAGGAGGATAGTTAAAGAATTAACAATCTTTATCTCTATTACACTCTAATAAATATTAATGTGAGATTTAATTGTCGTTACATAGGGCTTAATGAAAACTAACTAGCACTAGTGACTTTCTATTAGTCTAATTTATTCTATATTCTATATTCTATATTCTATATTCGAGGTTGAAAGCTAGATAAAGACACTTGAAAGAATTCAAGTTATTAATCCGAAATCGAAATCTAAAGCTAGATAGAGACACTAAAAAAAAAGAATTTGAACTACGGCTAGGAATTAAGTTTTAAGTCCGTTCGGTTCGACGCGAGTTCTAAGATTAACTGGAAGGGATGGTATCGCACAAAGAGGCGTCGGTGAAGACCCAAAGTGCCCGACCCTCGGCGCCTGGTAACATTGTAAAGCGCGCTGACATGAGTTGCTTGACATAAGTAGGGATCGAAAGGAAAAATTTCTTCCGTACCGACTACAGACGTGACATAATATATTATATATAAGTTTTAATTAAATATTAAGATATTACAATAATTTAGATAACATTTTGTTAATTATGTGACAATAATGCTAAATAGCATAAATAATTATAATTATAAATATTTTGAATTTGCAAAATTCCTTTACTTATAGTATCTTCGATATTTTCTATTAGTTAATCACAGCTAACTCAAGGAATATAAGGATTGGAATCGAATTCTAGAAGAATAATCGACTATGATTCGTCAATTTTTTACGGTTACGGCATAAGTTAATAGATTACGGCCTCCAAAAACTAACCTTAAACCCTAAAGTCTACAATGACATAACATAAGGCTGTAAAGTGTGGTTGTAAGAACCTACTTAAATGAAATATTTTTATTTCTTATGCTTAACAACCTTACGTCACAGTACCTGTGACGTCACAGTAACTCTGCTGTATACTATGACGTAAGATTGTTAAGCATAAAAAATGAAAATAATTCAGTTAAAGGTACTTACAACCACGTCTTACAGCCTTGTAGCTTTATGTTATGTCATTGTAGACTAGGCTTAAGACAGCGTTGAGTTGAGTTGTTATAACTCATGAAAATACTAGATGGATATGTTATTATATATTTTGGTTCTAGTGGAACTCGAACTTGGATTATCATGAGCATTCTTGTTCTCTGCCAGCAGCCAAACAATAGGGAAAGTCTCTTCTCTCTCTCTCTCTCTCTCTCTCTCTCTCTTTCTCTCTGCGCAGATGAGATGATCTATTGACAGTCATGATGGATAGTCATATTGCTTTATAGCTTTACTATTGTAAGATTCTTGTATTTTTTAAATTTAAATAAAGTAACCGTTTTGTCAGGAATTAATGTCCGTTTTTATAATTATTGTCTATGATTTAATACACGCACTGAGAGAGGTGACCGGCACGTATTGGATAATGGAGCGGGCGTAATAACTTTTCCACAACTTTAATATAATGCGGTTTATCTATATTTTCACTGAGTCTACAACGTAATACAACGATTTAACAAATATCGCCTGTAACGATATCTCGACTATATTCACTACAATTACTACTTTCGACTATTCGACTTGAACTCTCGCGGATGACACGTCTGTCTCATTCGCCGACTAGGGAGAGAGTCTCCGTCGCTCGCTGCTCCGCGCATCGAAGCACGTTCGGTGATTTCAAAGTTAACAAAGATTGCATCAGCTCTTGTTGGTCCTTTCCTAGTGTCACTCACTCGTGTCGTGTTCGATCGAGAGGCGCTCTTTTGGTTACTGAACAGCACTCATGACGCCATCCACCGGTTGTCCTAGGGACTTCTTAGTAACTTTCTTACAGCTCGGCCATCCTGCATTTATGTTCGTCCTCGAAGATATATGTTTATCTATCGCTTTTTATTATCACAGTTTCACAGACGCATCTCTTATTTATAGTAATATAGCTTGTAAATAACGCAGTGTCTCTTATTTTCTTAATCTTAAATTTAAACAATTTTTAACCTAATCTTATTTCAACATAATCTATCTACATTGCTCTTATACTAATTAATACTATGTATGCCGTACTTAAAGTACATCTAATTCCTTCGCTTGTCATTTCCAAGGTTTGAGACGATCGGACGAAAGAATTGTGTTAAATGGACGCGTTGTCAAGTTAAAACCAGGTATATCTTGCACAACGTAACGATGATTACCTAATATTTTTCCAATCATATACGGGCCCTTATATTTAGCCTTTAATTTCGCATTTACGCCCGGTTTCATTTGTGTGTCTCGTACTAGTACGTATTCACCTGTTTCGAACTTGGACGGTTTTCGAGATCGTTCGTCGCGGTACTCTTTATTGTATTGACGTATTTTGTCCGTTGCTGTCAATGCCATATCACAATTTTTCTTTCTTTCAGTTTCTATATCTACATCGATTGACGTTAATTTTTGAGTAAATTTTGCAAGCGGATAGTCTGTATGGGAACGCTGACTATACCCCAGTACCAGTTTTGTCGGAGACGTTTTTGTTACAGCATAATAAGTGTTATTTATAATATACTGCATGTCTTTAACCCTGTCTTTCCATTCCGACGAATTATTTATTAACTTAGTTAAGGAACTCTTGATAAATCGATTCACTCTCTCGATTATTCCATTAGCCCAGGGGACAGCTACTGCAATTTTCCTATGTTTAATTCGATTTGATTCGACAAATTCGCGAAATTCATTTGAAGTGAATGCCGTTCCACGATCAGTTACAACTTCAGTCGGATTTCCAAACGTTGCAAAGATATTTCTTAATATACCGAGTACTTCTCGAGTCGATGTGGATTTGACTGCATTTAATCAAGTAAAGCGAGAGAATGCATCGACTATGACTAGTATATGTTTATATTTATCACAAGTTTCTTGTAACGGACCGAAATGATTAATGTGAATTATTTCATTACAGCCGTTGGGGACGGATACAGTGATGTCTCCCCTTCGAAACGATTCATGGAGTCATTAGCCATTAGACAGGTAATACAATTTTCTATATAACTATTTATGCGCTTACGCATACCGGGAAACCAAAAATATTCTTTTAATGTTGTAATGTTTTCTCGAACCCTGCATGCGCCATTTCATCGTGATGAGCGCGTATGACTCCAGATATCATTAATTCCGGTACTACGAATTTTATATCTTCATTTTCTTTTCTATAAACCAGACCGTCTATCAATTTAAATTTATCATCGTCTTCATTCTCTAATTTATTTGCTATCTCTTGAATTTTAGGATCTGCCAATTGCCGAAATTCGAGCTCTCTTTCTATGGGGCGTTCGTCTACGTAACCCACGCGACTGAGAGCGTCGATGTTGCATCTTATTACCCGGACGGTGAACAACTTTAAAATAATAATTTTGCAAAGCAAGCGTCCACCGCGCTATTCGCGGGTTCAAATTAGCTTTATTCACGGCATAAACTATCGCGTTACAGTCAGTGACTATAGTAAAACGCAACCCATAAAGATATAAATGAAATCTCTCCACTGCCCTAACCATGGCTAACATTTCTAACTCGTAACTATGATAATTTCTTTCAGCTCGATTCATAGTCTGGCTGAAGAAAGCTATTGCCGCCCAATTATTATTCTGCTTCTGTAGCAGTATAGCTCCAAGGTCCAGATGATTGGCATCTGTATGTAGCTCAGTCTCTGCTGCTGGATTATACAAGCACAACATGGGAAATGAGGTAAGTTCTTTCTTTAAGTTTTTGAATGCCTTAATACATGTTTCATCGAAATCAAATGTAATACCTTTTTTAAGAAGATTTTGCATCGGCCCGGCTTTCACCGCAAAGTGTCTGATAAATTTTCTAAAATAACCGGCTAAGCCTAAAAATCTGCGCACTTCGTGTACGTCTTCCGATTGTTTAAAATTTCATACAGCTTCGGTATGCCGCGGGCTAAGAGTGACCTCGTTTTCAGAAATTATATATCCTAGGAATTCTATTTCTCGACGTAAGAATTGACACTTTGTATAATTTAATTCGAACTTATGTTTTTTTAGATACTTCAAGACTCGTTCAAGACAGCTAGATTCTGGTCTACGGTTTCCGACGGTATAAGAATATCATCTATATAAACGATAACCTTGTTTTGCCGTATGAGCGAATCCAATATTTGCAAAAGACGCTTCTGGAATTCCGCAGGAGCTTCTGAATACCCGAATGGTAAATATTTGTATTCGTATTGCCCATCAGGCGTAGCGAAAGCAAAATACTTTGTATATTCCTCATGTACTTTGATATGATGAAACCCGTCCTTCAAATCTAACAACGTAAATACTGACTTTCCATAAAGTCTCGACAAACAATCCTCGATTACCGGAAAAGGGTACTTCTGTTTTATTACTCGAATATTTAATGGTCTCAAATCGACACATAATCTGATCGCGCCGTTTTTCTTTTTAATAGGTACGATCCTTGCGCAATATGGTGAGATACTCTACTGGATGATCCCTCGATTCAAAAGGTCATCCACGAAGGTCATCCACTTCCCTTATCTGTAGCCGTTCAACATAAGCAAATCGTCGCGGCGCAAAAGCGTATACAGAGTCGTCCTTCAAATGAACACGAACGGAATAACCGTCTTCAATCGGTATTACTTTCAAGCTCTCGAAAGATTGATTGCATTTATTATCAAAATTAAATTCAAAATAAACTCTCTTTTTCAACAAGCTCTGTAATGGCCTCGCCTTAATTGAATAATCCTTTATGAACTTTCTAAAGTAGCTCGCTAATCTCAAAAATCTTTGGATTTCGTGTAGACTCGTGGGTTTCTTAAAATTTGTAACTGTTTCGGTATATCTTTAACTAAGCGTGATCCCGTTTTCCAATACTCTATCTAAAAACTCTATTTCCTTTCTGAGAAATTGACTTTGAGTAATTGAGTTGGAATTTATATTTCTTCAGCAGTACGAGTATTTCTTTTAGTACCGCCAAGTTTTATTCTACTGTGTTGGATAGGATGAGGATATCGTCTATGTATACTATTACTTTTTCTTCGCGGATAAGCGGGTCGAGAATTTGCAACAGTATTTTTTGAAATTCCGCCGGTGCCTCTGAATATACTCGGTAAATATCTATATTCAAATTATCCTTCAGGAGTCGCAAATCCGAAATATTTTGTGTCCTCATTGTGTACTTTTATGTGATGGAATTCGTCCTTGAGATCAAGTAACGTGAACACGATTTTTTCATATAAACGCGAAAGACAATCCTCGATTATCAGAAATAGATATTTCTGCTTTATTACCCGACTATTAAGAGGCCTAAGATCCACGCAAAACCTAATATTTCCATTCTTCTTTTTAATAGGTATGACACGTGCACAGTACGGCGAGATGCTTGGCTGTATTATTTTACGCTTCAACAAATCATCAATAATCTCGCGAATCTGCAGACGCTCCACGTATGCGAAACGTCGAGGGGCGAATGTATAGACGGATGGTCTTTGAAGTGTACGCGGACGGAATACTCTCATCTATTGGTATGATGTTAGTATTTTCTATGACCAACAAGACCATCAGACGCTTCTTATCTCCAGCATTGAAATCTATAACCGAGTCTAATCTGTTCCAGCTCACTTGTTAAATCCTTCACATAAAGAGGGAGATTGGCAAAAAGGCGCACTTCCGCGACCGGATTGATAACTGCTCTGCCGTGTAACTTATAAATCAGGGTGAGTTTTTCACTCTCTATAAAATCTCTACCCAATATAACATCACCCAAGAACGACTTTTCATTTATGACGTACATGGTTATTTTAAATCGACGATCTTTCGATAATTCCAATCGAATCCACGATAATTTCAATCATAAAATCGACTGGAACGATTCCTTTCAAGTTTAGCCTTTCAAGTTTAGTTAGAGACATTTAACATACGATTCGATAAATGATTCATAAACGCAATTACTAATAAAAGAAACTGGATTTCCCGTGTCCATCAGCGCAACTAATTTACATTGTTTATTACAGATGGAAGTTACTTGTATGTGAGGAATGGCTCCAACCGGTTGCTGGCGTCTGTTACCACAGGGCCACAGCATTCGTCTTCGTGTCCTGGAATAGCTGCTGCTGCCTGGACCGTTGTTGCTGGCCAGCACCGCTAACGCCTCTCCTTTGTCGGGCAGCTGGACAGTCATACTGCCGGTGTCTTTTGTTCTTACAGAAAAAGCAGATAATTTCTCCACGACAGATTTTGTGCGAGTGCCCAGCTTTATCGTAGTTGCGGCATGATGTCTCTTTAGACTTTGGCCCGCTCGCTGGCACAAATACGCCAGGTCCGAAAACCCTTCCGTGATGCCCTTGCGCATTTTTTCAAGGAAAGTGTCTAGCGAGGTATCAGCCATGGACAGCGTGGTGACTCTCAGGGCTTTGTTGTTCACGCCGCTGATCAAGAGGTGGATTACATCTTTGGTAGATAAGTCCAATGGTTGTAACAATTTTGTTATCACGTATTGATCGCTAATTTTGTTATCACGTATTGATCGAATGTTTCACGATGCGGTAACTACTTTCTTGCCTCGATCTTTTGCATGACTTTGTAGAAGGGGACCTGTCTGCTGAATACCTTCCTGAGTTCCGGTTTCAAACCGTACCAGGATTCTATCATTGCTCCGCTCTGAAAATCGTACCACTGCCTCGCAAATTTGACAACTTGCTCGAGGTGGCCAGCAATGTCGCTCCATCCGGTGCTCCGTGCACCTGCGACACCTTATCCACTCTTTGTATTCATACATTAACATTTTCGCTTTCAGAGCCTCCAAACTCAGGGATTTGAGAAGTCAACTAAGTGACCGAGCTCCCCCTAGTGAAACCCTCGGCCAAGAGTATTTCCTGAAATACCTGAGCCGGTGAGGAGGCTGCCTGTGAGCCGCCTGGCTCAGATCTTGGATCTTCCCGTTCTCCGACTACATCAGGTACTGCTGACGCTGGCTTTTCTGCCGTACTATTCTCATTTTTATTAAATTGCTGCAATACCTGTGTAAAAACTGTGTAAAAAACTGACTTCTTTGTAACTCCTTTTGTTGTAGGAGTAATGTCTCCGCTACTTGCGATAACGTATGGTAGAGCACCGCCGTTGTCACGGGCTGCTCCAGAGGCGTCACCGCCGACGAACCACCGGTTTCTTCTCGAGCGATTTCTGATGGGCCATGCTTAGCTACATGAGCCAGGATTGCTTCAACGAGGACCACTCTGTCATCCGACACAGGGAAATGAAAACGTCGAGCTTCCTTCTGTAGCTGCTCCAGGACTGCTCGGTCCATCGCCCTCGTCTTCATCATCTACGGCCATCTTCCCTCTCTCAACTCCACGCGACACAATGGGCGCATAAGTGGAAATCTTACTTCTGATATTAAATGCTGTAAGATGTTATTTTTTAAATGTTCAAATTTTTAAAATAAATGGATCGAAATCAGGATTGTCTGTTCGTTTGTATTCGATCCCTATTATTTGCTCTAGCATAAAAGGAAGAACGTTCCACATGGCAGTATGAGGAAGAGGACTTAGCAATAATCTTCCGTCTTCAATAATATGCACAATTAACAGAAAACACTAACGAATAAATATTTAACTGTCAGTACAAACTTTTACAATTATTTCAAAAGCGCGGGGTTTTACATTAATTCGACATTCGACTAAGATCGACTATAAGTATCTCGACTCTCGCGTAAGAAACGTCTCATACGCCGACCGAGGAGAGAGTGTCAATTCGGTCGCTGCTCCAAAAAACGAAGCACGCTAGATGATTCCTAGATAAACATAAGTTGCATCAGCCGGTCTGTGTGACACATCAAAATCGAGCAGACGAAATCTAGCTGACGAACTCTAGCGCTAGGGTCGCTCGCGTGCCGCACTTGACGACGAAGAACAGTACTTTTGGCGCCATCTGCCTTGGAACTTCTTACAACAGTATCTCATATTCTTTATCGTGTACTTTCGGAAAATGAAGGATAGAACATATATCATATTTACTGTCTTTTTTTACCTAATGGAAAAGGCGTATCTAATATTATAAGATTTATGGACCGGTTTGAAATATTAAAATAAATGGAATTTGTGTTTATAAATATACATATTTTGCGATCATGAATTTTACATAAAATTCATATTGAGACTCTCGTTGCAGCTATATTGGTTTTATGACGTCATAAGCAAAAAAAGATATGAACCAAAAGTTCTGCGTCTTATATCTTTATTTCTTAATTTTTCCTTAAAAATATATTATTATATTTTTATATTTTTAAAACTTGTTAAATATATCAGAAATTAAGATATCTTCGATATGTCACCTAGAAGTATAAAATAATTCTTGAAATAACACTTATTTTTCAGCTTTCACGGCGATTTCTGATAGCTGAATTTTCATTTAATTTATCCATTTTCACACAGTAACATCACAACTCACTTTTTAGTATATTTTTACACCTCCAAAGATTGTGAAAATATATATATTCCATTGGAAAACTAAAAAATAACAATAAATGACGCAAGAAACTTTATGAAGTGTTCAACAATGTTAAATGCTCGCTTATAACTTCTAATTTTCTTTACTCGGCGCTAGACATGAATTTCAGCTTGGCTTTGATTTTTATTGTATATAATCACTGTGACTCGATAATGATCATCAATAACTGCAATATCCGCAGCAACGTTGCCAGATGACAAATAGACATTGTCAAATATTAAATATGAAATTAGAGCGTGTAATTCTTTTCTAACAAAGGAAATATCAAAAATGGTCCTCTCGAATTTCGCTTTAAAATATGTGTAGTACTATACTTCAACTGCATGATAAAATCATTCAAGGCAATTTTCAAGTGTTTACAAGAAAATCAAGTTTGAAATTTCTTGTGTAAAATATCACAATTTTATAATGTCTTCTGAAGCGGTTAATGTAATTGGTCGTCACTTGACTAATATGATAAGAATATTGCATTCGCGAGTTTAAATCTCTTTTCTTTTTTTCATTAAATTTTTTTTCATTTTGAAATAAAGAAATATAGTATAAAAAATGTAAATAAATTAATGAACATTTTTTATGTATTCTCTATTCTCTAACATGAAAAAGAATTAAAAGAATAAAGAATTAATAGAAATAAAAACAAACTAAGACGTACATTAAAAAAATAAGTAAATTAATTAAATTTATTTCTTATGTATTAATTGCAATGCGTATAGCATTAATGCTTAAAAAAATCGCTTTATTAATATATGAATTTTTATTGCATCTTCGCGAATATCGCATTGTTCTTATAGTAATGTGATAATATCTCTAGCGAAAATAAAGTTTGGAACGTAAATCGAATGTAAGGAAAGAGTGACAGCATTAAAACGTTTCATAAACGCTTTATGTTTTTTTCATCACTCTATTCAATCATAACAAAGGCTGCGTTCCAATCATAGACATATAATATAGACTCCTCATATTATATATTCTTTTATACCACCAGTTGGGTTTGGCAGAACGGTGAAAGAAGCAAAATATCGGAGAATATCTGTCTTTTACTGTGCGCGCATTATTGACAAATAAAAATGGCCTATTCAAGGGATCATTTGATATCTGTATAGCAATATACTTGTATTTAAAATAAAATAATATATTTTAAGCTTAGTGAACGAGAAAAAAAAGTTTAATAGAGTAAATGCCGAAGTATACACTTCTGCATAACGCATATATTATGCATAAGAAAATAAATCAATCAGAATCTTCTATTTCCATTGTGGAAGGTTGATTATGCGTTAGTCTCGGTCCACAATAGGCATTTAATCTTTAAGCCGTTAAAAAATTGACCAATCATAGTCGATTATTCTTTTCATATTAGATTATAATTGGTCAATTCTTACGTCTTAAAGTTTAAATCACCTATTGTGGACTGACTTATGCAGAAGTGTGTGCTCCGACCCTTAAGCTATAAAGACCAATATCATTGTCCATCATGACTGTCAATAGATCATCGCGCATCTCATCTGCGCAGAGAGAGAGAGAGAGAGAGAGAGAGCAAAATTTTTCCTATATTTTGCCTCTCACATCATTCAGCCAAGAACTGACAAGCTGGTTGCACACAGGACACGGCAAAGCGACAACTCGACAACACGGTAGCCAATCACCGTCTTGTTTTTTGATATATAACTTCGTTATGCATTAGAAAACAAGACGATGATTGGCTACCGCGTTGCCGCATTGTCACTTTGTTGCTTTGTGCAACCTGTGTGCAACCAACCATACAGAATAGTTTACATGAGCTTCTAATTTCGACTTAGTAATATTGATGTTATAACTTTTACTTAAGGGGTTAAACCTTTGAGGCCCTAAAATGATAAATCTAACTTTTTATAGATAAATAAATAACTTTATTTGAAATTTGCTTAGAAGGCTTTATTGTACATAACAAACTATTCTAAAAATATGTTATTTTAAATTTTTCTTATGTCTTAAATAGCGGCGCGTTGGTTCACTTGCGAAATTCTTTTTTTTCTGTAGCTTTAAATTGGTGTATAGGAATCCATGCTTATGGTTTGACCTCGAAAAAAATACAGAATAAAGAATTTTCATTAATTATATTTCAAAAACTGGAGAAGTTTGTAAAGATTTTTCAAAATATTAATTCTTTTCAAAATGGCAGCTATTTTACAAAAGACTTGCATTTTTGCCCTAAAATTTACGTATAAAAATATTAATTGCAAAAAGAGTTTTCAAAAAAATCTATGTACTTTTTTGCAAAATTTTTAAAGAAGTTGCAGTATTAAAGAATATTATATGAAAATTATAAGAGTTATGTTTTGTACTCCGATTTTTAAAATGCTGTTTTGAGAAAAACGCATTTTAAGTTTTTCAAGAGAATTTTCTGTTTATAATATATTATAAAAATAAAAATTTTTATTTTATCTTCTGCGATGCCTGCCCCATAAAACTACCCTTCCGTCTTTGCATTAGCCTCGTCAACTTCTTTTCTAGCAGACAATAATGACTTTCTGGCTTCTTTTGCTACGTCATGAGGATGGCGCCCGATTGATCATATTGTCGATTGGCCAATTTTAAATAAAATTATTTAATTGGTTGATCCAATGGAAAATCTCTAAGCATCGGTCGCTGTAAGTGGCTGTGTCCAATTGCAACGTGGTCAAACGCTCCTCGTCAATGGCTGTGCTCGGCCGCTTTAACGCGCCCTGCTTCCGCTTTCTTACCAAAATTGTAATAAGGAACCACTGCGAGATTCAAAACTTTCATAATTTCCATTATGCTTCTGAATCCTATTGAAATTAATAACAGCAATATCTGTTGCAATGTCAAGTATTTTTTCTCACTTGCATAAGATTTTGGAAATT